TGGAAATAACAATTTTCGACCTTCGGTTTCTTTGGACCAAATCCGGTTTGAGGACATTTGTAGCCGAACTAAGGGTAACTGTCACTCGAATAGAGTATTCGATTTGATCCAAACTTGGTACATCGTAATAATATTGTCAAACTTATATCGAGTTCAGAGATGGAAAATATAGGTCCACTCCTTCTGGTACCTTCCCCACAAAATGTCAAAATGTTCAAAGTAAATAATTTTCCTTATAGAACAAGAAAGGATCATCCAATGGGTAAGGTGAGCAAAGGAGCAATATCGAGCACCTCCCCCACAAAGGGTCAAAATTACTCTTATAAAATGCGAAGTGAGCATCCGATTCCTTTCAAACTCGGCACATGCCAATATTTCTATCAACACATGATCTGGTGTTTCAATCAACACATGATCTGGTGTTAAGATGAAATGAAATACGAAATGATACTAACACAAGATCTGGTGTGAAGATGGAATATATCGGCTCACTCCTTCTGGTACTTTCCCCACAAAGGGGCCAACATTTTGAATACGCTCATAAAATCCCAACATAAAATCCGAAATAAGTTTCCGATTTCTTTCAAACTCGACAGATCCTAATATTTCTGCTAACACAAAATCTGGTGTGAAGATGAGCTATATCGGTTCACTCCTTCTGGTACCTCCCCAACAAAGGAGGTTAAAATTTTGAGTAACAAAACTTGTATAAAATGCGAAATAAGTTTCCGATTCCTTTCAAGCTCGGTACATCCTAATGCTTCTATCAACACATGATCTGGTGTGACTATGAACTATATGGACTAACTCATTCTGGTACCTCCCCTACAAAGGTGTCAAAATTTTGAATAAAATGCGAAATAAGTCTTCGAATCCTAATATATCGGTTGAATCCTTCTAGAACCTCCCCTACAAAGGCTCAAAATTTGGAATATTTGAAACTCTCTTAAAATCCGAACCAATCAGCCGATTCCTTTCAAACTCGGCACATCATAATACTCTTATCAACACATGATCTGGTGTGAAGATGTGATATATCGGATCACTGAAAATTTTTAATATCTATGAAGATCATAAAACGCGAAATGAACATCCGATTCCATTCAGACTTGGTATATCGCAACATTTCCATCAACACAAGACCTATTATATAGATGGTAGAGATCGGATTATCCTTTCTCTTTTTGTGCAAAAAATATTATTTAAAAATTTCGACCTTTTGTGGGGGATGTACCAGAAGGAGCAGACCGATTAACACAAGACCTTGGGTTGACAAAAATATTGGGATGTGTGAAATTTGAATACAAACGGACTCAGACATCACATCTAATAAGAGTTGTAATTATTCAAAGGTTTGACCGTTTGTGGGGTGTACTTGATGGATTGGACCGATATTGTCCAGTTTCTCACCCGACCTCGTATTGATGCAAATATTAGGATATGCAAAGTTGGAGCAAAATCGAGTTATCCTTTCTCTTTCTGTGCAGTAAATTATGTTCTTTGACATTTTGTAGGGCAGGTACAAAGAGGGAATGGATCGATATTACCTATCTCCGAACTCAATCTAAGTTTGACAATAATATTACGATGTACCAAGTTTGGATAAAATCGGATACTTCCTTCGAGAGTAATCGTGCACACTAGCCAGCCAGACGGACGGACGGACGGACATCGCTAGATCGACTCCAAATGTCCTGAAACGGATTTGGTCCAAAGAGACCTAGGGTCTAAAACCGTTATTTCGATGAGGCACGTTTTGGTCGTATCAAATGATATATACCCTCTGTAGCCATATGGCTGAGGGTATAAAAAGAAGCTAAGTTCGGCAGGGCTGAACTTTTTTAATACCCTCAACCAATTGGAAGGAACTTGAAAAATGTCAACAAATCCCGAAAAATTCCATTTAAATGATGAACTTTATAGCGGGCTATACGAAGATGCGGACCTGCATAAGTATTTTTTTTTTGTCGTAGGCTGTAGTAACCATTAATATGTTGAAATACAAAATTTGAATAATTCTGGCGAATAATGTCGCTAAAATCATCAAAATACCGAATATCTGGAGGACCGTTATATGCGTGCTTTATGAAGATTGTAGGCATAGGCTGTAGTACCCTTTACAATCTACTAATACGAAATTTTAAACAATTCGGGCGAATGATCTCGTAAAAATCATCAAAATACCGAATATCTAAAGCTACTGCTATATGGGGGCTATACGAAAACGTGGACCGACATGGCCCATTTACGAACTTAACTGCCAACTGGCAAATACACATGTGTGCAAAATGTTAGCCTTCTACCTCAATTCGTTCGAAAGATAGCGTGATTATAACAGACAGACGGACAGACAGACCGACGGACATCGCTAAATCGTCATCGAATTTTACGCTGATCCGGAATATTTATACACCCAGAGAAAAAATGACAACATCCGTGTATGAAATGACCACATCCGTGTATGATAGTGTATCAACCACGTTTGGTGTCAAAATGAGCACGCTGTTGTCATTTTGACACCGAGATTTTGGCAACGATTTCAACAACAGATGTGCATGAAATGAGCACATACGTGGTCATTTCGAGCACGCCCCGTTGTCAGATTGTCAACGCTTCGTTGTCAGATCGTCAACGCTTCGTTGTCAGATTGTCAACGCTCCGTTGTCGGATTGTCAACGCCCGTTGTCAGATTGAAATCAATGGTGGTCATTTTTTGATATCCGTTCCTTTTCCATTTTATACCCTTAGTAGAAGAAACGACATTTTTTGAAAAGTATTTTATTGAACGAAACCAATTACATAAATTCAATATAAATACATATTTGATTTAACAAAACAATTCGAATTACATATATTCAATGTATAGAAACAAATTAAATTAACTTAAATCTGAAATAAACTTTTCCATTATTCATAGGATATAAGTGAAATGGGTAAGTAATAAAATCTAAAATTGGTATTAAAAAAATTGTATCCTCATTCAGAGAACCAACTTCATACGATTGTAAATGGTAATCAAAGTTTTTAACTTTTACTTGGTTACATAAAATGTAAACATTTTCATTTTCAATTATTAAATGTTTAATTTTGAAAAGTTCAATTGCGGCATTATTTGTTGCTAAATAATAGTTTTTTTTATACCTAGTTCCCTTAAAAAAAATGTCATCAGACACTTTGCAATTTTGGTAATTTAAAACTGGCTTACTTTTTTTGTAACAATATTCCTCTTTTGCCAAATCTTCGATGGTATGCGTATTAATGATAACATTTGGTTCTAAGTTATCTTCGTGTTTTAATAAAAAATTGGAAAATTTCAATCCAGACTTAATAGATAATGAACGACAGGGATTTACTCTTGATGTAGTATTTCCTAAATAGGCTTTTGCTTCCTTGTGTTTAGCTTCGAATCTCATGCTCCAGAGATATTTAAGGGGACCACATTTTCGGATAGCTGTGGGATAGTGGACAAGAAAGTGGTGTTTCGGTTTTAACGAACCGTATAATGTTATATAAAGTGAATGGTGATCTCTAATTAATTCTTCCAATTTTATTAAATCGTCTTCTATATAACTTGGTCTTAAAAGTAAATCGATTATTTGTAATAATATTATAAAAACTTTCCAGTGATCGTTGGAGAAAGGAATTAAATCGCCTACCATTAAAGGTAAAAAATTAGTAAAACACATAGTTTCACTAGCTGTCATTTTTAAGTTATAGTTTTTCAATCTACATAAATCTAGTGGTCCAGATTTATTTCCCACTTCAATTTCTCCAAATTGGAATAAAGATTTTCTGCTGTTAATACAATCTAACGTAACAATATTTTCTTGAATCAGCCCGAGAATTACATTAGACATATCGTAGACACATATGCCCTCGAAAATGTCATGCATAATATCAAAACAAAAATTTTCAGTGACGTTAAAATTTGGTAAAGATTCGAAGATACACTTGTTTTTAATACCTGTTTCTTGAAAATTATTTTCCAATACATTTGAGTTGTAATTCTCTTGGTTTCTTAAACTATCTAAATGCTGAATTGCGTCGAATTGCATTTGGGACTTTTTTCTTCTACATACCCGGCAAAATCTTTTAGAGTTAAATGATTGCACGTAGCCTAAAATACTATTAACTGCTAAATTATCTCCAATAATTACACCTAAAATAAAATGCACCTTCTGAACACTTTGTTGAACACAAATTTCAACCCCTTCTTCTAGAATTTTTAACTCTTCTACAAGATTGTGAAATGAAACTTCATTTCCACGTTCTTTTAAATCCTTTGATGGTATAAACGCAGCAGTTAATATATAATCAAGTTTTGACAACAAGTGCTGTGGCATTGAAGGAAAGCTAATATAACAACCACATATGGAAAATGTATGGGTTCCAAGAGGATTATTAATTTGAAAATCATCCATGTAAAGGACATAGGGAATAACTAAATTGTACTGATATTTTAATAATTTAGTTTTATATAACTCACCGTTTGAAAAATTTTGTAAAACAGGTGAATTTAGGAATTTTTTGGAGTTTTCTAATGTCAAATCTAAGAGATTTGGAATTTTAAAAAGGGCACTTATCATGAATTTCAGTGGCATTATATAAATATTGGATAACTTTGGACCTAAACTGGGATTTCCGCTGATAACAATTTCCGAGACTTGATTGCTAATTACATAAACCTTTGGATCATCATAAAAGTTTAGTTCTTTTAAAATTTTTAAAAGTCTATATTCCGTTCTAGTTTCTTCGAAAGGATTTTTACAAAAGTTTAGTAAGTACCTTAAGTCTTCATAATTTGGATGATCAGTTATATATTTTTCAATTGTACATGAAATGGATGAAAGCAGAATTGAAACAGAATGTTGTATTTCTATAACATGATTTCTAGGCATATAGCTTTGACCATGTAATTGTAAAGACAGATATAAGGTTTTCTTTTTCAAAACATTTAAATCCTTTTCTATTGTATTGTTGTTAATAACAGTTTCACTGTTTGTATAATCATTTTCTTTTGATGATGACATTTCAACTGGCACATTAATGGCTTTAACCATTGGTGGAGCTTTTGTGTGATTCTTGTGAAGTTTTTCTAAATGAATTCTGAATGACGTAAATTTTGTAAATGTTTGCTTACAGTTGTCCTGAACGCATTGTACTTTTAAAAATTTAGTGGACATTAAATGGTCTGTTTTCAAATGAGCTATTAAAAGATTTGCCTTATCAAAATGCTTACGGCAACGAAAGCAAATATACATTTTGAATTGTACTTTAATTATTGTTGCAGAAATTAATAAGTGAAGTCAAATTAACTGATTTTATATCATATACAGTATTAATTTCATAAAAATATTTTTGGATAAAAATCCATGGAATTTGGCAGGCATTTGGATATTTTAAAGAAAGTGCATGAAAAATTTTAAAACATGTATCTAAACATTCGAGGAACGATTGAAATTTTAACAAATTGTGGTTAAAAAAAACATAAAAACCTTTTATATTGAAATCGGACAAACCCTCCACAATTATAAATGGCTGTATAGTTAATCCAGCATTGTAATACTTTTCAGTGACTGTATCAATTTGCCTTTTATAATCGTTAATTGTCGGTAGTCGCAGTACGAAACTTTCCTGCGAATCAGCTATTGTTACTTTTTTTCGTAATTTACCGTTTCCACATTTAAACCTAGCAGGTGATGGTAAAACTGAATTCAACAGTATTGCGTATATATAATCTTGAGCATCTGCAACCGAAATATAAAATAAATATTACTTTTAATGTTTATGATAAATCAGGAATTAAAATTTACCTATGCTGCTTGCCGTCAAAACATTTGCGAAGAGTTGTTTGCAATGTTCGTTATGAATATTTTTCCCATAATAATTGTAAATTTTTTTCTTAAATTGGTCCCATTTAGAAAGTAGAAGATTGCCTTTCTGTGGATACATAATATCGAAATCAATGTTGACCTAAAACGAAACATTAGTATCCATATACAAATAAATAGCTCATGGCTACTTACCAATTCTGAAGCTCTTGCATCGGACAACTTCGTCCATTCAAGGAGAAATGTATGGCTACTTAAATTTTTATATCTCTTTGCCGTATGTTAAAAGATCTTTTCCATTTTTCGCAGATCGATCCCCAATCATTACATTCTCTTAGTAAGGAAGCTTTCAATGAATTTTCAACTGATTCATCAATTTCGGGAACATCTTTGTTACAAAAATTAGGAGATGTGTGAGTTGCTGCTTTGCTTGTGCTAGGCTCGGAAATCAAAAGCTTTATTCTTTTGGACTTCTTGTTTCTATACTTGGCATAAAGTTTTCCGCTTGCGTTGTTCTTTCCTTTTCTTGAAATGTAATAATAATCCTAAAAATAAAGACATATTATAAGTTAAGAAACTACATAATCAGATACGTTGTTTATATTGTTAATCTTACCCTCATTTCGTTTTCAAGAGGAAAAACGGAACAAATTTCATCCAATATGCGCATATAGTCTTGAGTGTAAAGAGTAACATTGTTGGTTAAAATATCTTCAATAATTATATTAATTATATCATCTCTTTGCTCGTCACTTAATTTCTTATTAACGCTACTACATTCAAGCGCTAGTTTCCCCTTCGAGGTATGTGTTAACAATTCCGTTAGATCCTATATTAAATAAAAAAACTACATTAACTATGCTTACACAAATATTACTCTTACCTTACCTCTGACAAAATTCCTTTGGCTTTTGAGCAGTTCGAACCTGTAGTGTCGGGAGTACCAGGAGTACTTGCAGGTGTCTCGTTGCGTTTCCACCATTCACCTATTTTAGATGGAACTGACATAGTTTCGTCATCAATCCCGAGCTATTGTTATGACAATATTAATACTGAGTTCAACTCTGTAAAACAAATAATACGTACCTTTCGTTTTTTCCAAGCAAAGAGCTTTTCTCTGAATTCAACACGCAGTCCCAATGGTGGCACTGCTTCCTTTAAATCTTCTTTTTTCAAGTACTGCAAGCTGCGAAATGTTACATGTGATGCTAAAAGAACAAAAAAGAAAATTCTTTGTTAATTACACTGATTAACTGAAAAATTCATTTTTATTTACTTACCTTTTAATTGTTCAAAAAGCGACTCCATATTTATTCCTTTTAAGAACTCCCTTAACATATAATCGTCCTCATTGTTTTCCGCATCTTGACTGCTGCAATGGTTTGTATCGCGAACCACAACAATATTGCCATCGATTTCTAACAACTCACCAATGATATTTTGAGGATCTTGCGAATTATTATTCATTTTCAATAAATTTTTTGCACAATGCGTCCTTTCTCTTTCAATAACACGGAAAAAATGGTAAATATGCAGCCGATTGCACACGAGTAAAAAAAATGACAACGGTGGTGCATGATTCATACACGGTAGTTGCTAAAATGGCAACGATCGTGTACGATTCATGCACGTCGGTGTACAAAGTAACAACGGTGGTGCATCATTATGCAGGTGGTGGTGCATAATTCATACACGACCGGTGTCATATTGACAACGACCGTGTGTGAATCATGCACCACCGTTGTCATTTTTTACTCGTGTGTAATCGGCTGCAATTACCAATATTACAAATGGACAAATTAAGCACGGCTGTTGTTGGTACCGAAAGTTGACCACGTCTCGGTGTCAATTTGAGCACGTTCGTGCACAATTCACCAACAGCCGTTGTTGAAAAATATAACAACGGGTCGTTGCGAAAATGACAACATACGTGCTTGATTTCGCAACGGGATTTTTCCCTCAGTGTACTTGTAGGGTCTATCATGAATATTTCGAGGAGTTACAATCGAAATGTCAAAGTTAATATATCCTCCATAGAAACAAGCATCCGATACTCTTAGAATTTCACAAATCTAAATATTTTTAGGTATATCTAAATATTTCTCTCAACTAGATATTTTATGTGAATATTGTATCTATCAGTCCACTATTTCTCATACCTCTCTCAAAAAAGGTTAAAATTTTGGATTTAAGTTTATTGGCATAAAATGTGGAATACTTTGGTGCACCTCACGCAGACTTTATTGTTTTCTGCGACGATATTGTTTTTTTAAGAAAAAAAATACGTAACTTAATAAAAACCCCCCTAAGTTTGTACATTGCTGCCTTACTATAATTCCCATAAAAAAAAAACAAAATATTTTACATAATTGAATTCAATTTTTTCTTTTCAATGAAAAAAAAACAACAACAAAACCTCTAACAGATGGATGCCTCTGTAACCGCATCAAATAGACGTTTATGTTTTTTTTCGCTTAGAAAAGATTTATTTCGGTATTGTTCTGGTCGTCTCCTCCAGCTGGATTAGAAAACTTAACAATCCGGTTTGGTTTATCTATTTTGTTGTACCAGCACTCTGAAAACATTGATATTTTTTCTAAAAAGTGCATCATTATTATTTTCCGATAGAGTGTTTGATGCGATTTTGAGCAAAAACAAAAAAAATGCAATAGAACATCAATTGTTGTTACTCGTTAATATTTAAAGATATCGAGAGATAGATGAATGGTTAGATGGATGGATGGTTGCATCGATGGATGACTGGAGCAAATTCGTTGACAATTGTCCATTTTTGAAACTTGTTTATGTCACTCGTTTCGCTGCTGATGATGATGGTGGTAATGCCTTCCTTGTTCCATATACATACGTTTGTTTTATGAGTTTTTTTTTTTTTTGTTGTCGCGGTTAATTGGTCTTTGGCCAAATGTCAAGGTGTTTTGCATTTGTATGCGATGTTAGAAATTAAATTCTTCTGCTCTGCAATAAAATGCCAAACAAACCGGGCTCTAAGGAGACCACAATTCGAATGAACAACTAATGAACTGGAAATGCATAAATTTATATTTAAGTATTGAATATGGGGTTATTGGAGAGGAAATTTCAAGAATTGTGATTTGTTTTTTGGCTCCTGTCATAGATAGTATCGTGGAAATTCCATGAAAGTGTTTAATATATTCATTTTAATTTTTTATTTGAAAAAGAAGAAAGAAAAACCAGTAAAGAAAGTCTTAAAAACGACTTTATGATACCCTACACCACTTTGCATATTTAGAAGAGCTTCACATAACAAATAAAAGTTTTAATGGGAAATTTGTGAGAATTAAATCATACCAACCATGATTAAAGTAATAATTAAAAGTCCAAAGGAACTAATATATGGGAGGAATATCCTCTTCTGAATCGATTTCTACTAAATTTGTCGAGGCATTAGCGCCTTTCCAATTCGGGCTTGTATTATCCATTTGGTGCACAATTAACTTGAAATCGGATCGATATGTATGAGAGCTATATGTAAATCTGAACCGATCTCGATAAAATTTGGCAAAGCTGTATTTGATATATTACCCCGAATATCATTGTTACGGAGTCCATATTACGGCTATGCAGGGCAAATTCAACAAATCGGATGAAAAATATGTATAGGAGCTATAGCTATATCTAATCCGATATCCACCAAATTTAACATACTGGTTTCTAGACTCAATTTGGTCGTAAGTACCAAATTCCTTTCCATTTGGGCTAATATTACACGTTTGGTGCACAATAAAAGGCAAATCGGACGAAGATTTATGTGGGAGCTATATCCAAATATTAACCGATCTCGATAAAATTTAGCAAGGGTATTTCTGAGTTATATTTGATATATTTCCCCAAATGTCGTTGTTACAGAGTGCATATTACGGCTTGCGGAGGACAAAAATAACAAATCGGTTGAACAATATATATGGGAGCTATAGCTATATCTGAACCAATTTCGATCAAATTTGGCATACTTATATTCAGGCCTAATTTGGTCGTACGTGCAAAGTTCCATACTATTTGGGCTAATATTACAAGTTTGGTGCACAATATAAGGCAAATTGGACGAAAATATATATGGGAGCTATACCTAAATTTTGACCGATTATCTCCAATTTCAATAGGGTTCGTCCTTGGGTCTAACAAATTATTTGTACAAAATTTCATCTGAATCGGACAATAAATGTGGCCTGTACTTTGTTTACAAAAATACATGGATAGACGGACGATCCGACATGCATAAATCAACTCAGAATTTGATTCTATGGAGATCATTAAAAGGAACTATGGGTCTATATCGCTTCCTTTTGCCTGTTACACACAAATGCACAAAGACATAATACCCTGACCACCTTATGGTGTAGGGTATAAAAGTACAATCGGAAAGATAGTCACCATCAGAAATATAATAGAACATTGTTTTCAGGAAAACTTTCTACCCATGATTTGTGTATGTAATTGAAATATGCAAAACATTTTTATAGTCGATACATATTGACGATTTTTTAGAGAAAAAAAGAGCCTTTATTTTGGGAAACGATAATGGGTGCTGCAATTATATATACGAAGAGCAAATGCCCACTACTTTGTATTCGGAAAAAGAAATTCAAATTAAATGGATTTGTGTGTGATTCTTTGCCTCTTGTAGACTGTATTAAATAAAAGACCACTATTTCTTGTTTTCAAGTTATAAATTGAACAACTTTTTTCGAAAATAGTTATATTTTTTGGAAAATAGGTTCAAAATTATACGCAGATCTCTTTTCCTATACTACTTACCAAAATTTAGTACAACTTAGTACGTTTCGTACAATATGCCAATTCCTGATACCCACAATGACCTCGCTACCAAATTTAAGAATTCCATTCCTATCTCTTCACCCAATACCGAATTAAGTACCACTTAGTACTTTTCGAATAATTATGGTACACATTTCACAAACCACCTCAATATCTTAACCACAGACACCAACAGTGACATCTATATAAAATTATAGTACCATTTAGTACTTTTCGTACAATTACAGTACACATTTTCAGAATCACCGCGGTATCTCAATTCCAGATACCAACAGAGACCTCAATATCAAATTAGAGGATTCCAGACCTATCCCTTTATCGAGTACCAAATTTAGTACCATTTAGTAGTTTTCTTACAGATATAAGACACATTTACAAACCACTGTCAAATCTCAAACATAGATACCATCAGTAATCTAAATGTTATTATTCCTTCATCCAATACCAAATTTCGTACCATTCAGTACTTTTCGAACAATTACAGTACGAATTTACAAAACCACCTCTATATCTTAATCACAGACACGGACAGTGGCATCTATTTCAAATTTCAATTCTATTCCGTTACCTAGTACCAAATTTAGTACTTTTCGTACGATTATAGTACACATTTCCAAATCCACCTCCATATCTCACTTCCAGATAGCCACAAAGACCTCAACATTAAATTAGAGAATTTGAGCCCTATCCATTCACCCAACATCAAATTTTGTACTCTTCTTACAAATATAGGACACATTTCAAAACCAGCGCCAAATCTCAAACACAGCTATCATCAGTAATCTGAATATCAAACTCATCTTATTCCTTCACATAATACTAAATATAGTACTGTTCAGTACTTTTCGTACGCTTATAGTAAACATCTCAAAACCATCTCCATATCTCAATCCCAGATACCAACAGAAACATCAATATCAAATTTAAAGATTCCAGCCCATTCCATCACCCAGTACCAAATTTAGTACTATTTGGTACTTTTCGTACAAATATAGGACACATTTCAAAACCACCGCCAGATCTTAAACACTGCTATCATCAGTGATCTAAATATCAAATTTCGTCTTATTCCTTCACCCAATACTAAATGTGGTACCATTCAGTACTTTTCGTACGCTTATAGAACTTATCTCAAAACCATCTCCATATCTTAATCCCAGATACCAACAGAAACATCAATATCAAATTTGAGGATTCCAGCGCTATTCCATTACCCAGTACCAACTTTAGTACTATTTGGTACTTCTCGCACAAATATAAGACGCATTTCCAAAACAGCGGCAAATCTCAAACACAGATACCATCAGTGAACTAAATAAAAATTTATCTCTATTTCTTCACCCAATACCGAAGTTAATACCAATTAGTACTTTCGCAAAATTATAGTACAAATTTCCAATATTATCACCTACTACCAACAGGACACCAATAAAAAAATTTCAAAATTCTAGCCTCATCCGTTTACCTTAAACTAAACTGTTCCAAATTTAGTACCATTTAGTACAGTTTGCACACATAGTACACATTTTTAAACCCGTCTTCATATATCAAACCTACTTTCCAACCATGATTCTCATACCAAATTTAAAGTATTTAGCTCTATCGGTTCACGTAATACCAAATGCTATCATTTTAGAAGTTTAGTACAATTTTAGAACTTTTCGTAAACTTTAAGTTCGAATTTCCAAAAACCCTTTTGTACATCTAACCAACACTCCATCAGTGACTCGCATAGCAAATTTTAGAATTCAAACTCATTCCGTTTCACTACTCTTTGGTATATATAGATTTTTCAGAAAGAAGTGATGACCCACTTTACCTGCTAAAAAAATACCCTAAATCGTCTCAGCTCGCCGAAAATTGATGATCGTGTACTAAATAAGCTGAAAGTATTTTTCGGTCCATCATGGCGTATGATTGTTATCATAATGTATACGACACACAACCCCGACAATATGTGGTCATTTTAATATCTTTTATATATGTAGTATAGGAGGGCAATGGTTCCCAAAGATATAGAAAAGTTGTGACTCATCTATGGATAATACCAGTTTGCAATAATGGAAAAAGTTTACATTTATAATTTATTTAATTTAACCATTAAAAAAGGGTACAAACGATTCATTTCTATGGGA